AAAGGGAAGGGAGAAGAGAAGGAAAAAATGAAAGAAAAGAAAATGAAAAGAAGGCAAGGAGGAGGGAGCAGAGAGTCCGAGCAGACTGAAGAAAGATAAAGAGAAGGGAAGGAAAGAGTCTGCTCTTTCAAGGAAGTCCAGAATGATCAGCATTTTGCCTGTCATAACATGGAATTATGAGATAGCCTTTTGGTCTGATTTACTTTTCCTCCCCCAAAAAAGAAGTGTAACACATTTTGGCTGTCTCACAATAATTTATTGCTATACCCAAGAATATGATGAACAATTGCATATTATACTTTTAAAATAAAGACTTAAGTATATTATGTTTTGTGCTCCTGTGCTATGACACTCATCTTATTTCCTCCTGCTGGTTTGCTCATTCGTGGTATCAGGTCAAATTCTTACAATCAAAACTGTCACTATTAAATTCTGATGATGTCACAGCAGGTACTCCTGCCTTGTATTTGTTCTAGTTAACCTTCATGTACGTTACTCTCATTCCCTGGCATCCCCTGGCCGGGATTTTCAGGATAAACTCTCTTGCCTGTATTTCAAGAGCATCCATGGAAAAGCAGAGGCACTTAACCCTGTGCTGTCTGATTCTCAGGTGTTCACTCAGTCACTGACTTTGCTGTCACTCTCTGTGCCCACTATCCTCAGGGCTCCCTCTACAGCAGGAAGTACATTCCTGGCCTCTTACAGATATGTCACCTGCACACTTGGACTTTGCAGATATCTGTAGAGGAATTTTAATCTAGCAGCATGGCTGCTTTGGAAAGGTATCACATCCAAAGACCTTCTAGGTCTATGTGATCTGGCTGGAACCTAGAAATGACCTGGATTAGAGTGTGATTTGGCTAGAATACAGACAAGATCTTAGTACACACTTTTAATCCCAAACAATGTAGGCAAGGAGCAGGAAGCAGAAGGAAGCAGCCATGTTTGAAAGTGGTGTCTAAAATGGAGAAGAAAGCTTTGACAGACTGGGATATACCCAACTCTCAGGAGAACAGCACAGGAAAGAAAGGCTATTCAAGGGTGTGCGGGGAAAGGCCGTTGAGTGGAGTTGAGTTCAGTCATTTGAGAGTTAGTGGGGAGTCAGTTGAGAGGCAATGCAGTGGAGTTGAGTTCCTGACAGTTCAGTTGGCAGCAGTTCAGTTCGTAGAGTTCAGAGACAATTTTTACTGGGACAGTTTTACAGCGACAGGTTTCAGACAGACAGAACAAGCTAGACACAGGTGGAGACAGAATGAGCCAGAGAATGAGAAAGAGCCAGAAGATTAGAACAGATTGCTAGAGTTAGTTTGAGGCCAAGCAGAGCAATTCAGTTCAGAAGCTAAGAGACGCCGGTTTGAATCAGTCAGCTTGGAGAGGCATTTGACCCAAAACTGTTGTAGGAAATTGGGTATTAATACTTACTATTAATCCACAAATCATTACAGCAATTATTTTTAAATTATTTTTAACTGTTATATCAATAAAAAACACAGATACCTGTTATATTTTTAAACCGCTGGTGAAGGACAGATGTAAATTCCCTCCCTATCTTTTACCTCCCACATCCCCATGCCACCTGCTTTACTTGTTTCCATCTGGGCTACTTCACATTTATAATTCCCACCAATATTCGCCCATACTTTCATCTAGGCCGCATCCCTCCATCACCAACCTTCAGAGCTAACTCTTCCTGGTTCTCAGCATTAATCTATGGGGGTCTCTGCTTCTTATCACCTTTTCTCTCTCTCCTCATTTCTCTCTTCTCCGTCCCTGAATCCTCTGTCCTCCACCCTCAAGAACCTTAACTCCGTCTTTCTCTGCCTCCTCAGCCCAGGTATAGGCATTTCTTTGCCAAAGAGTGAAAATTTGGAGGCGAAGCTAGACAGCATTGTGTGAGGATTTGCTTGTAGAACAGTAAGAGTCTCGGGGGCAAGGAATTAATTAAATACAAAGCACCAGGCCACGCTGTGCCACAGAACAGCCGAGTTGAACCAGCCAGCTAGAGTTCTGAAACAAATAGAAAGTGTGAAGTTACCCAGCAGTAACTCTCCAAGATGACAAATATGTCAAGTGAATAAAAGATACCTTTTACAGATTTCCCCCGTTCGCATTTTCTCTACAGGGTAAAACGAGGCGTGCGATCGTGACTGTACTCTTGCGAAGACGGCTACTTTTCTCTTCTAAACGTTAGAAACGATGAGAGAAAGAGTTCACCTACCTAAAAGGCTGTAGCTGGAGGCCGGCACTCACCTTGCTGGTTTAACAAGACTGTAGTGTTTTAACCCTACAGACAAAATTGACTCTTATTTTAAAAATAATGGTAGGAATTGTTAAGACCATTACAAAATTTAACTCCACAGAGCATTAAGAAACTTTAGATTAAAATATTAAATTCTTATTCCTCTTCCCTCCTCTCCTCCTTCAAACTCCAACAAAACATGATTTTTCAGGAAACACTAACAAAATTGGTTATAATCTGCCAGTTGATCATCTCCTGCCTTTCTGGCATCCATGGGTTCCTAAGTTTGTTTGCATGTATGAATATGGCCCTCCACACATCTCTGGATTGTGTCTTAACTTGTCCTGCAGACCCTACTTGATTATGTAATATTTTCAGTTCCTTCAAGGGCCATTGTCACCTTTGCTGAAGCTGTGGACTAAGAACATTTGACTCTTCACTTCAGTTGTAAGCCATCTGACTTTAGGCAACTTTTCCAATTTAAATTAAAAATCATGTCTTCAGATAATTGAACCCTGATAAGCCCCAATTCTTGTATGGAGTGAGTAATGTCTTCCTTCCTTCCTTCCTTCCTTCCTTCCTTCCTTCCTTCCTTCCTTCCTTCTTCCTTCCTTCCTCCCTCCCTTCCTTCCTTCTTTTGCTCTTTTTGAATGTCAAGTATGTGACACCCCCACCTTTCTAATACAGTACAGTGTTTGACGGTTTTATTATTTTAACTTTAAATATAGATCCTGTAAATTTTTTTTGCAAGTTGCAAATGTACCTATAATGATCACTAATCATTGAATCACCTTTTAGACATAACTGATAGGGTTATTTAAATGTCTACATAACAAACCATGATACATAGATAGATAGATAGATAGATAGATAGATAGATAGATAGATAGATAGATAACCTTTAAAATATAATGATAAATCCCTTAAGGGTCAAAACTAAATTGTAAATCATTGAGGTCTTTAAATATTTTGGTATTTGAATATGAACGTCTCAATGTCCCATATCACCTGCATTAATTGGTGAGGTTTCATTTTTATTGTATACTAAAACTAGGAACATATCATTAACACATGCCTTTAGCACCAATGCAATTCTTTTTAAGGCCACAGGAAGAAATGCTAACGAAAGTTACAGAATAGTACGTTGTTATGTGGCTAGACTGAAAATGTGTGTATTTTTAAAATTTGTGGAGCCATGTGTTCTATTGGGCATGTGTGTAGTTTTCTAAGTCAGGCCGGGAAGACACAGTTCTACTATAAATAATATCATGAGCGGCTCGAAATGATGGCGGGAATAAAAATGTACTTTTCAAATCCTAGGAAATAATATTCAAGTTTTCATCACAATCAGAAGTATATCAGTTCTGATTTAAAAAAAAAATAAAGGTAAATTTGGAGATCTTCAGCTAGAAAGCAGATTATTTTTATATTCTTTATATAACCCAAGACTTAGGGATGAAATCTTGAATTTCCAGTAGGTGAAATAGGAAATGTTATTATTACTGCATACACACAAATGTGATGGCTGATCAGTATTGATGACTTGAATGGGCTTCCATAGGGAGGCTATTGCTCTCTCTGAGCGTATCTTGTGTTACTTCGAGGGTAAGTAAACTATAGTCCCTGTCACCAACTTCACTTTCTTATTTCAGTTTGGGTCGTAGGATCAAAAACTAGAGGCAAGAACCGTGCATCTTCCTGTGCCTCTTCCTGTGACGCTGCACTTCGTTTTCAGCGTGCCATTTACGCTAGTGTGCCGCTGAGCAGAATAGGTTGTGTTTCTGGTACAGTTTTCTGTATTGGAACTGTTCTTCCTATAAAATTACCCCATAGTCCTTCTCATTGAGGGCTTCCCCACCTTACAGTCGTTGTAGAATCACAGGGTTGTGTACTCTGTGGACTTCATACAGCTATAAAATAGGAAACCAAGACATGCAAAACACACACACACACAGACACATTATAAAGACTTAAATGTTTTAAAGAATACTGCACAAAGACTAACGAGGGTTAACCTCAATGTTTGAATGTGAAGAGCTGTTTTTACGTTCAATACTGTATCCTAAGATATCATTCTGAAAGTGGAATGTTCCTTTAAATTCGTCAACTATTTGTTGGAGTAGCTTTTGTTATTAGTGTGTGTTTTAGAGAGGTTTTGGAGATGGGTCTGTTTCTATCATGAAGTGGATTAAGCATCTTGCAAGTATCTAGTTAATCATCATCAGCGTAGGTAGAATGATCACATGTCAGCCCCCCAGTGTCCTCTGCTTCCTTGCTCGGTCAACATGTTTCCCAGTTTCCATACAGTTAATTCACACACACACACACACACACACACACACACACACACAAATGTTCCAGATGCCCAGTTCAGAAAGTCAAAGACTGAACCAATGCAGATAAGAGAATTACTCTGTATGTGAAGCTGGTCCTTTAGTAAACCAAGGTCAAGCATTTATGGGCAAACAGGCTGGGGCCTTGGGCAGGTAATGCTGCATGTTTGCCTTCCTGGCCATCACAGAGGAGGGTGACGACGCCTTCTGTTCAGAGGTCCTGCGCGTACCATCGCCAAGGTCCTGTTTATGTGTTGTCTGCCGTTGCTCTCCTGAAAGCTGAGTTGTGGAACTGAGGTGACAGCGTCTTCCCTTGATTATCTCGGATGTGGCCAGGAATCGGTAGCAGGGCCTGCAGGCCGACTGTGTGCTTCTGAGGGCGGTGTTTGCACTGTGACTGACGTCTCTCTCTGTCTTTTCTCCTGTAGCAGTTCTATGCTGCCCAGCTAGCCGCAATGCAGGTTTCTCCAGGAGGGAAGCTCCTAGGCCTACCCCAGGGCAACCCTGGTGCTGCCGTGTCTCCTACCAGCATTCACACAGACAAGAGCACAAACAGCCCACCACCCAAAAGCAAGGTACCCTCTTCAATAAGCTCATCTGTCTCTGCACTTAAGCTTCTGCTGTTCACTCAGTAGTTATTGAAGGTCTCGTAGATTCCAGCTACCAGGCTAACTAAACTCAGGGTATACATGGAGGTAAGGCTGAGAAGGAGTGGTAGCTCTATGTGTAAATTTACATTTCTAATAGTTGACTTATTCACTCAATGAACCTTTCAACAGTTATAATGAAAATCTTAAATGGGCATCTTTGAATCAATGAGTTTATAGCCTTAAGGAAAGATATCTATAAAACAATCAACTAGCCATCCTTTATAATCCTATGAATAATAATAAATTTTGTGAAGCCATGTATAAATAAAGTACATTAGGAGTTATCAGGAAGGAGAGATTGGCTTCAGCAAGAAATGCAAACGATTGCCAAGGGATAAACAGCTGAAATAGAAACTTGAGTACGAGTAGAATTGAGACATATGGAGTGTTTCTTAAGAACTATCAATAACTGTTATAATGCAGCGTGGTAATGGCAGAGTTGTAATTTTAGATATGTCACCCAGCCACCAAGATTATCATGGAAAGACATAAAGATAGTTGTAGTATCGGGGACTATTTAAACCCAGTTCTGGCGTTAGAGCTGTGGAAACATTTCCTAAGAACACGGGGGAGAGCTGGGGGTGGGAAAGATGAATGCTTCTTAGAGGAGAGCAGAGAGCCTTGTGTGAAAAGCCTTTGTGTGAAAAGTCTTTGTATGTGCAAACTTTACATGTGTGCTATTGTGCGAACACATAAGCTTTCTGTAAAGCAAGCGAGGCTAGCCAAAGAGTGTTTTCTGTGATTATTCAGAAAAATAAGCGCAAATATTTAACTTTTGAAAAATATTAGCCAGAAAACTGACACTTTTAATAATTTTTCCATCAAGCATGTTTGTTGTTCAATTATCTAGAAATTTGCTTCTGTCTTATATCTCATGAATGAGGTATGCAAATGTCTTTGGGGAGCAAGGTTGGAACAATCATAAAGGCTGTGAATTGTGCGCATGAGTAAAAATTAGGAAATATTGAAAGGGAGTTTGGGTTCAGAACATCAGCTCAGGTACTGTAGAACTCCAGGTAACAGACTGTGGAAGAGGGACTGTTGGGTCATCTGGGATCTATCTTCCCAGAGTTCACAGGGCCTTTTCTTTATTGCTAAGGGAAGAAAACATTTGTGCATGGCTGTAACCTGACTGGAACTAGGACTGCGGCTGGGGAGCACCCTTGCACACTGGGGTGCCACAATGTGGGGACATACTCCGCTTTCAAATCGCTACTGCTGTTTGGTGGGCCTCACATGCCGTTAGCTGATTGCCTACGGCCCAACCTGCTCCTCCTTATAATCCTGGACACATGTAAAGCTAAAGCTCAGAAGCAATTATAACAGCTACCAAATCAAATTTAATTCTAAAGTGGCGGTATTGTGACAGCTCCTAATGCTAGCAGTTTTAAAGTGTTATATTTACAGATGCATTTTAAGCAAAATAAAGATGCGTAGAGGCAGAGTCCTTGCCTCAGATGCCTCTGTGAAGGTTGACTCTGTTTCTCCCCCATAACATCATGTTCCATTAGGGAATTCCCTCTCAGGATTGTAGACTTTTTAGTTCTGATTAGTGGATTTTGTCCCTTACTTCTGGATGAATTTCTTATCGTTAATATATTCTCAAACAATTTACTTATACAAATAGCGAGAGAATGTGCAATAGCAGACAGCCTCTTCCATCTTTGCTTTTGCTTAGTCCCCAGTCATTCATCCATCTGTCCATCCATTAGCAGGCCGGCTGGGCTATTGCCACAATGATCCTTTCGTAGGTAACAATAGCAAATGCCAAAGCCTCTGAAGGTCCTCTTTGTTGTGACTGGGAAAAGGCTTAGGGAGCCAAGTGGCTTTATGTACTCACAAACCCATACGAATCCCGCACAAGAGAGAACAATTGTTTAGCAGCACTAAAATTCTCCCACATCTTACAGTTTTCTATGCATCTTTCTACTTCACAAGAGGGAAAAAGATTGTGTTTCAATTACCATGATTTATATAATGTAAATATATATTCTATAGTTTATATTTGAAGTGTAATTACTTTGTAAAAGTTTGCCTTCATGAATTTTCTATCACATAAAACTTAAGAACCAATGGGTGCCCCTCTTCCCACCCACAGTTATAGCAACACAAATGAAGATTTAACCAAGAATAACATTTTTCTCTTTCAGTGTCAACAATTTAATAAAAATGTGATCCTTGCCCAGTGTCCTCTAGCATGCTTCCTGCCACTACTTTCATTGTTAGGAAGAATTCCAAAATATGCTCATATTGATTTATTTCCTCAAAAAACCACAGTGAGTTAAAAAGAACTGTGTCACTAAGTTGCATCATTTGAATGGTAGCTCCCAAAATTACAAACTAGTAATAAATAAATAGAGCCCGTTTACTCTCTTTTAGCTTAGAAATGATGTTTGTGCATAACATGATGAAAATTGTGACTCCACTGAGCTAATTTATTCATGATCATTCGTTTATTAGCATATTTATGCTTTGAAGCAGTCAGCTATTAGTATCTTGGGAGACATTCTCTCTCTGTCTCTCTGTCTCTTGTGTGTGTGTGTGTGTTTGTGCGTGCGCGCGCGCGCGCGCGTGCGCGCACTGTTGTTGCCAGTTTCTACTCTTGCCTTACTATCACAAAATAATATAAGAGCTCTGTGCACACACCTGGTTGGCGTAAATGGAGTTGGTGGCTTATGTTGCAGGCGTGTTTACTCTTTGGAGCAGTGGTGTCACCTGTCAAATCGTGAGGTGACAGATGGATACTGCGCTTACTGATAGCTGCCAGAAGTGAAGGGTATGCTCAGTGTGTCAGCCTCTCTCTTCCTGGACGCACTGTTGCCTCTGACTCCCAGCTCCAGAGGACACAAGCAAAACTTATTTGCAATTTGCAAAGAGAAAAAAAAAGAAAAAAATATGGAAGGGGGGATCAAAAGGAGGGGCTCCAAAAGACTGTAAAATTGTGCAGCATGAGTCCTCTGATGCATGCTGTTTTCAATCTGCTGTGTGCCAGTTGGAGGCTTGGGGAGTGCGTGCGCGCGAGAGAAAGGATAATGCTGAGAAATGATAGAGTAGCTGTGACCTCCAAGCTCAGCCTGGAAATCCAAGACATTGATTTCACTTAGCATTCCTGCTGGGAGATCTGGCGGGGTTCAGTTGTAATAAAAGAACAAGATTCTGTTCTAATGGTAATGGCGTATGACAGACGCATCACGTTGTCTGTCCCCAGCACCAGAGAGAGCAGGATTGGAGAAAGGTCACCTGACCTGCCTGGGGTGTTGTACAAGTGCTGCACTGAGCTTTGAACTGCCGCCTAGGAGCATAATTATTTACAATATTAAATGATAAAGAAAGCTTTAGAGGACTCACGGTGCACGTCTGAAACCTGCATGTGGGAATTGCATTTTGTAACGGAGAAAATTCTAGACGCCGTTCGGTCTATTCAAAGTCTGCGTTTGAGAGCACTGGTTTTCTTGTCCTTGATGTCACTGCTCCTGGGCCATCCTCATCAGTGCCTGAAGGGGTGTCACTGCTTAATGTTTTAATGCCGTGGCCTAATGAGTAGCTTGCCAAATAGATACACATAGATATATTTTCAGTATCTAATCTGCCAAGGACAATACAGTGGAGAATTAAGACTGTGGGCAAGTTTCAGCACTCACACAGCACATCGGGTCTTTTCAGAGACGTGGAATCCTACCCAGTCCCCAGGTTTTAGATTCTTCCCTCCAGATTCCCAATTGTCTCTTATATGAGAGGCAAATATATTTAGCTCCGCACGGACATTCTCTTGGCTTATACACAACTTTATATTCCATTTTAATGGCTACATGCAGGCAAATAACAAGGAATAGAATTATAAAATCTCCAAGTTTTGTACGAGGGACTCTGCCTTCTCATATGAAGGAATGTTCAGCATACTGTTGCATGATATTGGAATTTGAATCTTGCTTGAAATATGCTTGCATGCCTTAACGAATGTTTAAATTTGTTTACAGTCTCGATTCTGCCACAGAGCAGACTGATGGAGGATGTGTTCCGCATCTCGCTTGTTCATGCCACACGTTGTTTATTTAAATCACGTTCTGTGTATTCTGTTGTCTTTTGAGATCCCCGCCAGCCTCTCCAACCGAAGAGCTCCTCTCTGTATTAGTTGGGCTAAATGTCTCAGCTTCACATTTTAAGTGTTTTTTTTTTTTCCATTGTAAAAGCAATACCTCTTGGGGAAATTTGAGGGGCAACTTGTGTGTGGCACTATTGAATGTCTCTCGGGGCTTGATGGAAACGTATGTACCTCCAGCAGCCACCAAGAACAGTCAGCTTTAAAAGCTCAGGACAACAGAGAACCCCTGGGAGCTTTTCTTTTAACCTCACCGTGACCCTTGTCTCGCAACACCCCACTCCCGCCCCCCCTGCCTCAGTCTAGCCTGTGTCAATGGCAAGAACGTATAGACTGTCCAAATCAATTTTTTGTTCTTTTCAAATCCTTCTGGCAGTGATGTCCCCATTTGCTCAGCAGTAGCACCTGAGAGTTATGACAAGGGAAAGAACTGCTTGTCTGACAAAGCCAGAAATGGCCCAGCCAGCTGACCAGATCCAATCAGCTCCTCTCTGCTGCAATGTCCTTGTAAATATTGCTTCCATTTCCAAGCAAGAGTTAGAGCTTTGTGAGCATCTGATCCACTCTCACAAAAATGAAGTCATCTTTTCTGACTTGGTGGCCTGTGCTTGTGTGGGTTGTATCCGTCCTGCCAGTGACTTCTATTAGACACCATTAGTTTTTTAATGGTGCCAATCACATACTTTGAAGCTTTCAAGCAGACACCCCATCACTTGGTAATCTCCAGGGATGAGCTTGTAGTTTAACACTCTCATGTCTTCATCATCCCCCAAGATGCTTTAATGCTCTGCTGAGAGGGTGGTGTCTTGATTGAAGGCTGCTTACC